CACTGCAACTAACCCATGATCGAAGAAAGACGATATCAGACATCACAATTTTATCCTCGAAACTTGCTCTGAACGCACCGTTCGGCTCGCTTAAAGCCTTCTTGATCTGACCACGAATTCCGCTCACTGTTCTAATCGCTGCTCCTTCGAACTTTGTCACTTCTAGTCTCGTCGAGAACATTCCCTTCAATTGTATTGATTAGATCCAATCCTATTTCACAGTTAATTTAAAACACAATTATATCAATCGATTTAGGAATGTTCGTTTCAATTAATAATCATTGCTCACACACAATAAAATAGCACTGATCCACTTCACTGGTCTCATTTCACATGGAATGGTTCAACAGATACTAAATATAAACCATCACATACCAGATTATCTTCAGTACAATTACACTGTCCAATACGTTTACTTATAACGGCAAAAATATTAATGTTCCTCAATGAACCACCTATTTTTTTCAGTACATGCATTGATTGTTTCATTTGAACGATAACAATGATAAAATTATACCTTGATGAAAGCAGACTTCTTGAATATTTGATATGGATTGCCGATTAATTTCAACTTTTTCACCACCTCACAACCCTTATCCAAATTAAGCACCACGCCTGTTGCTGCTATTCGAAATCCCTTCTGCAATCACGATAATTCCAGTGGCTATCATGCCAAAGAACGCTCATTGCAATATCACATCAAAATAACGACAACAGCGATAATTATCTCCATCATCACAACAACAATGAACCTAATCAAATTGAAAAACAACCAAACGAACCATCTGTTGATCAACAGATTGAACGGCCATGAATGCGGTATTCTGAGTGGTTATCGGTGCCCAAAATACAGCTTCACAATACATATGTTCAGGTGTGTATTTTAAATAACGTTGACGCATGTTATGGTCTTGTATGCAATATATCATCTAAATCATTCATCACTATCATTATCATCCATTATCATTCTACACAGTATCTATCTTTATGAAATATTCAATTAATCACATCAACAACTCAAACTCACAATGGTCTGAAAACGCCTCCAACCACACGAAATAATCAGCGGATCTCTTGACTTCAATACGCGATCGTACCAGCGATGTTTTTTGATTCGAACCTACACAATAAATAATAATAACAATAAACAATAATAATAATAACAATAACAACAACTATAAAATAAAAATAACCAACAAGTCACCTGTACAGATGCAATGTTCTGCTCGCCATTCAATAACCCTCCGATAATGTACGGTTTGTTCACATTGAAATATTTGATGAATTCCAGCGGAATGCTATCAAACTCGACCCGCACGTACTGTCCCACTCTAAATCCTTCCAGTTCATTGCGATATTCGTCATCCAGCTCTTCGAATACTGACTTATTTAACTGCAATTCAAATTTACTTTACAACGACTAATCACTCAAAGTCGTGCGATTACAACACAACACCACACGACAAGTGTTCGTATGTTATCAAAAACGAAAATCCGTTTATGTATATAACCCTCAATGATAGTAACGATAATAATAAAACCGTAAACATAATAACAATCTTAACATCAATAAAATAATAATAATAAGAATAATAATGAAAACAAACCTTAGATTGCATTTCCAGTTGCTCTTTCAATTGATTATAATGCTGATTCGTCTCATCGTATTCCGCATTGAAATCCCTCTTCAGTTTCTCTTTCTTCATTCGAACACTTTTACTCGTTTCACTCACACCACCATTTCCCCCTTCCTCTTCTCCTTCTTTAAACTAATTTTTACCATTCAAATTGAAATTTTCATCGCTAACTGACTAACCAATTTCGCTACGAAAAAAATTTATGACACATGCTCATCAAAATACATTCGACTCTTCAATCAATTCATGAAATTTCACACGAACAGTATTGAAATGAACGATCAACAATCAAATGATTAAACTGTGCATAAAACTGAATAAGTAAACAACAATTATACAATAAATAACAAAAGAATGAAACTCAATGAATATTCTAAATCAAAAAAAAAATTCATTTCAAGAAATGAACAAACCTTGCGAAGTAGATTTATTTTTTTCAGCAGTATCACCTTCGCCACTATCACTATCACTGTCATCATCCCCTTCGCTCTCTTCAGAACTACCGTCTTCATCAATATTATTCTTCGCATCACTCTCATCAATATTCGCATCATCGCCTTCTGCCCATTCACCAGTCACAAAACAATCCTTTATCATTTCGCGAGTCTAAACTCAAATTTATACTTATCGCACTTCCTTAAATAACCCACACCCCTCAATCCCCTTCAATAATATTCACATTCCCATATAAATGTGAATCTTTACTGGATGAATTCAATGTTAAAATCACAAATGAAAGAATTTAATAATACCATCCATCACTCATAATATGAACTCACTTTATCATTCATCCACCGACCATCATTATTATCACTACTATTTTTAATTCCCCCAATGAACGACTCTTCAATCAATTCATCACGAATACTCGTTGACGGCTGCATATAACAAAACCCATCCTCCTGAAAACAAAAATATATCATCATTACAATGCGACGAAAGTGAAATACGATCACAAAATAAGAATGAGTTTCATTAAATGCCAAAGTGAGTTATAAAATCGCGAATCAGTTACAATATTCTTATAAATGAAAAATACTCAATGAACAAAAATAATGAATAACGAATGCATAAATACAAAACAACAAACCTGATCTTGTAACGATGAGCGCTTCTTGGTTTGTGAAGACAACTTGAATAAACCGCCACCGAACGCATCATCGTCATCATCAGTTTCATTACTCGCTCCATTACTCTCATACCCATCTTTAATCATCGTATCATAATCAATTTTAGTTCAGTTCATTTACAGACGAACAAAAAAAGGAATCTTTTAAAAATCAACAAAAAACAATCGATCAAATGAAATTTACTCTTACCATCTTTATAAACCAATTTCGTCCAATTCCGTTTATTTGCCGCTGTTTTCAGTTGATTGATACGTAACAATGAATTGATATCATGTATACTTTTTGATGAGTGTCCATTATCGTTTTCTTCACTGCTATCCGATTCATCACCACTCTCCACTTCATCTTCTGATACATCACTA